CTTCCGGCTCCACAATCTTCTGCGGAATTGCCTGAGCATGGCATGTTGCAATCGGCTTGATTCGCGGCAAGCGCGCCGCCATTATAGATTTTGGTATCACAGAAGCATTGAACGCTCCACTCCATACCGGCAATCGTATATCCCGCAGCGGCACAAGCGGCCACGCACGACTGTTGCGTGAGCGTTTGACTGTCCGGTTGTTGGTGGTTGAGAATACGCCCGTTCAGACCGTCGACCCAACAGCCCTGGTAGGTCCAGCCGGTTGGGAAGCCTGTTTGGGCAGGAGGAGTCGTGACGGAGACGGGGGTTGAACTGGTTGTGCCCGATCCGCCTCCAGGAGCAGTCGTGGTAGTTACGGCAGTTCCATTGAGCAAGTACAACTCTAGTCGATTTCCTGCCCCGCAATACTCATACTGGTTTCCCGGGCAGACAAAGCTGCAGTCTGTAGCAGCAGCTAGAACTGAGCCGGCATTCAGAGAGTTTCCACAATAGCCTAATTACACATATTAATAAAGATGAGCGAGATCGGAAATTGAAGATTGGACCAACATTCTCCTCCATACTCAACACCGAAGTACTTATATGCTGCACAATCAGTTGCGCACTCTTCCAAGGTCATTGCAGTGTAATCGAAAAATGAGGCTGCGGACAGAGCACGCCCATTCGTTGCCTCGGTGTAGCATCCTTGGAATATGTAGTTTCCAACATCAGGCTTCACGGCAAGAGTCTGAGCTGGTGCAGCGACGGTGCTGACGCTCGTAGTTGGCGAGACGACGGTGCTAACGCTCGTAGCCGTCGATGTAGCAGGAGGCACAACGCCAGATGTGCTCGTCCAAGGCGGAAGATTGACAGAGTCATTATAGTCATAGACATCAAGCCTGCTTGAACCTCCACAGAATTCAGAGTGATTGCCATTGCAAAGCATATTACATCCGGCCAGTCCTTCTGGAGCAAGGACGCCCCCATTTGCAATTTTGTTGCCACAATCTATAGATACGATTTAGTTCTCAAAGTGACTGTGGAGGAATAGGAGTTAAAATGAATCTTACAGCATTCATCTGAGTATTCTACTCCTGCAAGAACGTATCCTGCGGTTTTGCACGCAGCCAAGCAGAGCTCAACAGTAAATACTGCTGACCCGCCAGCTGTCGCGACTCCATTAGGGAGAGCGCGACCTGTGGTTCCTTCTCTGCAATCAAACCTTGTCAGAACTGTTTCCGTCTAGATTTAAACCGAAGGTGACTTACGCATAGCAACCAGAAAAGGTCCAATTACCCACGCCTAGATTTGTTTGTGGTCCAGATGTTCCACTCCAGAAGAGATTCAGTCTGTTGGGGCCGCCACATTGTTCGGTTGTGTTGCCAGAACATGTCATACTGCAGTCTGTCGCAGCTGCAGATGCGGCGCCTGCTGCCAGGGAGTTTCCGCAAACTGCAGTTCATCAGCATTGTCTGCAATTCTATTTATAGAGGAAAACCTGCAGCATTGTGTAGAATATTCGGTTCCAGCATATATGTAGCCAGCCGTGTCGCAGTAATTAATGCAGGACTCATCAGTCATGGCCGTATTGCTAGTATATCCTCCACCTGTCAAGGTTCGTCCAACGTCCCTATGAGTAAATCAGCCATTGCGGTTCTATAAAACAGGAGAATTTTGCAGTAACATACACATAACAGCCTTTAGATGTCCATGACCCAGGCAGAGTTGCGGGTATAACCGCGGCTCTTTTTTCGATTCCCAGGGCATTACAGACCGGAACCTTTGCAAAGTCAGCGATTTATCGTGAGAGGTTTTTGCTTCTTTGAATAATGACCTGTAATATGACAAAGGTTGCTGCCAGAGCAAGCCCTAAGCTTTCAAACATTACGGGCAGCCTCCTATACAGAGCCCAATGAGAATAATTAAGTTAATACAAATAACAGTGCTGATCATGGATTCATCCAAATTATAAAACGATTGGAGATAATGAATTGACAATTCCCATACTACTTGGAATAGTCAAACGATGATAATAGAGTGTAACCAGCAGATACAGGAAAGATGGGCGACCGAGAAATTATTGAGCTAATTCAGCTCCGCAGCCCAGCCCAAATCTGGGAGCTTCCCCTGTCTGTAGGGCCGGTACCCATGGCTCGTATCTGTCGATCGAAGTAGTTGCAGTCCATTCAGCTGGGCTTGCAAGAGCGGCTCTGTATGGCCTATCCAAGCCATCAGGTAACTTCATCTGGGCGCGCGGCAGAGGAGAGAAGGGAGAGATCTAGATGTGAATGGACTCGCTCGGCTGCGCTACCAATATATCTGCACGGATGCAAGGAGACGGCCCATAGCGTTTGTGGCGTCTCGTATCTGTGCGTGTTCAGACCCTCACGTCAAATTTTCGCGCATTCGGGCAACATTCAGGAAGGAATTGGTGGACGTGCAACCGAGAAGAGAAAGCCATGGACACACAAGGATGTGAGATGGTAGACTGGCAATCTTCGCATAAGTATATCCCCTTCCCGCGGGATATTTTGACATGCGCATGGCAAAAAGAGCGGTTATCAGGCACCCTGCCACGTGTGGACCTGAGCCGATAGATTACGAGGCCTACCCTAGATCGGAATAACATAGTTCAGGGCTGAACTGTGTGGCTTTTTTATTGATGTGTTGGCGCCCAGCCCCGAGTCGAGTTTGTTGTCGCTACAGCCCGACTTCCCCCACTAATAAGACGGCCTGATAAAGCGAGGCGGTCCGTATCACAGCCCCCACCCCCCGTTCTAGACCGCTCCTTGGACCATTATCATCTGAAGTATATCCCGGGGAACACGAACATTCATGCAACCAGTCTTGATGCCAAGTTGTCTCCGGTTTGGAGAGCAAAGGACCACTACCTGTCGTCTCTCTAACTCAGAGGAAGCTGGTGGATTGGGTGACAAAGCGCCACGGGCAGAAAATTGGAGAAGTCTTGGCTCACCTGAGTGGTGTAGCCTCGTTGCGGGTGGGTGTCTTGGGACAACCGGAGTTCCTGGAAGATCCGGCACGGCACAATCAACTAGGCTCTAGCTGTATGGTAAGAAAACACGCGCCAACCCGCATAGTCAAGAACTCTTCTTTCGAAAGGACAAGGTGTATGCTGTTTTCTTTCGTGAAGAGCGTGGTCGGTGGGGTGGAGTATGAATGGGTCGGCATCGGAAGGTTATTCGGGGACGGTTTCGAACATGCCTTTCAGGTTTGTGGGAAACGGAGTGTTATACTTATATAGTACCTTTAAGTTGCATACCTCTAAAGAAGCCAAATAGATCAATCTGAACTATTTATAATACCTTGTTGATAGTATTGAAACTTATGTAGAAGTTATACACTATGGACAATACTTCTTTATATAATAAATTATTATTTATTTATTTCTTACTAAACTAGATAAAATACAACTACGTAGTACTTTAAAATGGCCTTCCTTAGCAAGACTGTAACGGGTGGGGAAACCTAAGTGCTATGGTTGGCAAAATCCCAATGTTCCCCGCAGCCAGCAATGACCGATTTTATGATAAATTATTCGTATGATAAGGCTTAGGCGAGACAGAATTGAGGTAGTCGCCGTAATCATGCGATCTAACACGTAGCAATATTTGCCCCAGCTGGCATATCGAGTAGCCGTATGCTATCGACTTCCTTGTACAACAACGGAGCTCCCCCATTTTGCCCTCCTTAAGGGGTGGTGGGACGGGACATGTATCGGTGTTTCCTCCTGCCAAGAGTATTGACAGACTAGGAAGGGAAACCAGGAGCCCCAATGTTGTGCGGGAAGCTAGCTAAGCCAGTCCGTCCCGTTCGAAATTGGATTAATGTTCAGCTCTGCAGTTTGCGCGTTTTGATGTAGGAGGAGGACCATATGGCTAATGAACCCCAATGGTACTAATCTGGTGACTTACAACCTCAATCCTACTAGTATTAGTCTGTTATGTGTCACTCATGCAGCATGAAAGGGCGTGCCAACTTGATGAAACGGAAACAGCAGATAGTAGTGGAATCACTGGGACGTCACGGGAGGCTGGCTTGATAGATCGCAGCAATAGAGTCACATTCAAACATAACTGGTTGCTAGGCTCCCATTAATTGGGGCCGCCCTCACATTTGCCACGTCGCTGCCTCTGAACCCTTTAATCGGCACCTGACATATTCCTAACATGGTGTATTAATATCATAACTTTTAAAGACTTGAGATACTCCAAATGCCTAGATAAATATAAAGTGAGAGTGCATGTAGGGATACTATCCGAATGAGATATATTAGGCTAGGCTAATACCCGATATCGAAATACCAACGAGGATTCAGATTATAGTCATCCGCCGCTATATTCGAATGAACACCATGCCTAAAGTATCGATACAAAAGCAGACGGTAATGATGATGATATATCCTTACCCTAAGAAGCTAAAACACAACTTTGTAGTGTGCTATTTATTCTACCCTTGGTGTCGCTGAAGTCCGCTTTGTGAATTTCTGATGCTTCTCCCGGTTCTCAGCTTGGTGGTCGACCACCAGTAATCCACAGCTTTTATCATCGTTGACTAACAGGCAACATTTGCATCAGCACTTTTATTCAAGTCAGCCAGCTCGACTCTCTGGAGACTCTTGGCCTTGGCATCATTGAGCTCCCGATGGAAAAAGTTGCTGACTAGAAGCGGCAAGATAAACGACTTCCAGAGAGGGAGATTGTTCAATCGACGTTGATAAGTCTCGAGATTGTCAGATTGATATGCAGAGTAAATCAGCACATCGCTGTTGGGAACGCCAACCACGGAAAATCTATTGCCTAGCCTACTGTGGTTACGGTCACACTGCCGTGGACAAAGCTGCCTTATGCCTAGGGGACTATGACATCTACGGAGGAGATCGCGAAATTTGGGATGCTAGGAGTTTTACCCGGTAAGCTGCCGAATATGACACGGCGCCAGTCGTCTTCGGCTGAGTTAGTGCTACAAAAAAAGTAGGTTGAAAAAAAATAAATAAAAATTATTGTCCTCGGTGAGACTCGAACTCACGACCTTTGGATGGCCCAGACTGTTAACAATCTTTTCATATGTAAATATGAGACCAACGCTCTAACCACTTTTTGGATGTTAGTGAATTGTTTTGGTGGTTGGAAGAAGAGGGTGCTTACACTGAGCCACGAAGACATTTCGATAAGAAACTCGCTTATTTATTTACATATAATAAAAAATGATTTAGTTTGAAGCGTCACTTCCGTCACCTTAATCTCCAATGCCAGAGTCATTGGACAAGACGAGTCTATGCAGGTCGATGTGACCGACGCTTCAGTTTTCACCTTTACCTGAACGCACTACACAGTCACGCAGTCAAATCAAGCACTTACCTTTGATAGACAGTCAAAGTCACGTGATATTTATCGCCGAGTTGACTTCCAGACGGGAAGATTGTCTATCTGTCGCTGATAATTCTCAAAGATTTATATGTACAGTAAAATCAGCATGCTAGCGATCGGAATAGCATGTCCGAATCCGATGGGCCAGGTTCTGACTGGACTGCTCTTGGCAGCAGCGACCGAACCTTCGGGGAGCAATTTGTGCTTTTAGTCGCTCTGTACTTCGAATATTCTGTGGGTTTAATAAAAGAAATTGGTTGGCAAGGCTTTGCAAAAGTTTCTCGAATATAGTGCAGACCCATCGTTGTGGCTATCCGCTGACCCTCGCCTTTCTTCTGCCGGTGGGCGTGAATATCTCGAATGAGAGCGGGGAGGAATGGTGGCAAGATAATTGCCAATTGCTGCTAGGGAATAATATATGTATATCCTCTCTTTACCAGAGTGGGTGGAGTATCATTTCGAGAATTCGTGGAATATTTGGATTTTAATAGTAAGGAACCTCTCCCGGGACTAATTGATAGGACTATGAAGTAGTATTAAGAAGGGTGCACAGTAAAAGGGATGACATAACAGGAGCATTGTTGTGAACACAACGCCGAGATAACTTTGACCGGGCATCATTATCTAATGGAAACCTGTTCATGGCGGCTGAACAACTGGTTCACGTGGATCAACACGCGCCATATTATTACATTTAGACTTCGTGCTTCTAAATCTCCGACGATACCAATTTGCACAAAAATACTGACTGGAATTTAACTGCAGGCTTATTCAGAGCTACCATCGTGTACACTCTCTAGGTTACGATTGTTAACTACAAGTTAAACCGCCGTTACTGAGTAGCTTAGGAAACTGATTGAAGTTTAATGTTAGGCTAGGATCAGATAGAGCATTGAAAAGCAAAGAGTGTTAGAATTGACCACAATGCATTGTAGGTAAATTTTGGTTGAAAAGGCTTTGTAGAGATGGACGTTCCTTATGGGGGTCGTGGCTGTAATAGTGATAGAATAGCAAACCGAAGTAATTGTATGATTGTATAGTAAAACATCGTTCATCGCAGAGTGCGGATTCTAATTATAGCGATGCTTAGTTCTAATGTATTAGATTTGAAGATCTGATGAACAATAATTAGAATGTATTTTATAACTTAAGGGCCTCCTTGGCAATTACCCAAAAGGTATCTGTTAATTCGTCCATACTTCTGATTGCCTTAACAGAATCTTCCAAACTAACCCGTGCGGTAGAGAATTCCCAGCTCCGCAATATTAACGGCTTTGATATCATTGCACTCTTCAGTCTCATAATTTCACCTTCCTCCAGAGAAATACGCGTAGCATACGCAGCCGCCACGGTTCTCATCTGTGTTGAGCTCTTTTGGCCGGCCGTCCACAGGAGATAGCCAAGTGAGGCAACTCCTGGTCCGGTTCCGGCACCAGACCAGTCCACAATCTGGACGGAATTATCGACAGCGGATATGATGCTATTTGAGGTCACTAAGTCTGGGTGAATGAAACATTGTGGTAGGCCAGAGAAGTCGTCTGCCTCACTGAGCTTATTTCGAAGCTCTTCGTATAAGTGAGGTTCGCTTTTAGGCACACACGATTTCGCATCTTCAAGGAGTGATAAAGCGGCGTCAAGCTCTTCTCTAATGCCGCCAGATTAGCAAATATGATGCCACGCTCCACCACTTCTTGTCACTGATCTTACTTCTGGGAGTGACATTGCGTGTGCAGCCGACCAAGGAGGTCTCCAAGCTTGGGGAAGATCTGTTCCCTCTTTCGGGGTCGGCGACCATCAATAAATGTAGTGATCAGAACATGATATCCAGCAGGTGTTGTCGACACCGGCTCAGGTGGGCGAGGCGCTCAGCAGGAAAGTCCTGCTGTTCGAGGATGCGCAGTATCTCGGTGTCCTCCAAAATTACTGAGAGTTGAAGGCTGGGGGAAAGTAGTCGCGCAACCCAACTGACATCGCCAGATCGATCAATACGGAAGACATTCTCGTCGAGGTTGCTGATTTCGGATACGGTGGTAGTGTACCTCGCCGAGAGATGCGATGCAAGCTGTTTCTTGAACTCAGGCGACTTAAAAAGACCTGCCAAGGATTGGGCTGATCCTGGCATCGCGGGGTTCTTGGCAGATTCCATAACAAGAGTGTGCGTTTCGAACGGCAAGGTCCTGTCAAGGCTCATGCCCTGTAAAGTACACTCAAGCTTATTAACGCTTGTTATATCTTAAGTAATCGTTACCGTACTTTCCTTAAGTTAACTTAAGTTAGCAGGTTGACATTTCAATGTATTACATAAGTGTACCAGTTGCCCTTTTAGGCTTAGCAGGGCGTAATAGACTTCATTTATTCAAACACACACACACCTCCTTTGATTTCGCCATGATCTCCTAATGTTTTCATACTATGTGCCTTCATATATTATGCTTCTTAACTGGTGATTACTCAAAGACTATTCTAGCATATTAGCCAACAATACAGTGTTCATACAAGAGCTCACAAAGGTCTGGATTCATTGCTTGATCACTTGTCGCATTGTTGCTTTGCAAATAGTTTCAAGATGTGCTCTGCAGAGCTGTCGCCAACCTCAATTCTACTGTTGTCTGCAGTCACTGCCGGATTCCTAATACAGCAGTTTGCTAATCTCGACATTGACAAATATCCATTTCCTATTTTGGGTACCGTGTTCAGTATACAGTGGATAATTGCTTTGGGCCTCCAATACTCCGGCGGCATCTATCACACTTTTTGGGCAGCACAGAGCATAGCGTTACTGACAGTTACAGTCGGTTTAATTTCGCTATGGGCGAATACTCTCATCTATCGTGCTTTTTTTCACCCCCTCAACCGCTTCCCTGGTCCTTATGGGGCGAAACTCTCCAAACTGTGGGTGTTGAACAAAGTTGTACAGTCAGATCTAAAATTGTATCAAGTGGCAGACAAGCTACAGAAGACATATGGAGACTATGTGAGAACAGGTATTGTGCCATTAGATACTTGGCGATTCCTGCTGACGAGCCAGGGCCATGGGAACTCACAATCTTTGACCCCGCTGCTCTATCTCCCATTCTAGGTACTAGAGCTATGAAGGGGCCATTCTACGGTGCCATGGAGAAAACCTTACACACGAATCAGGACATCGAGTTCCACAGGCAGCGGCGGAGGGTTTGGGATAATGCAATTAAGCAAAGTGAGTAATTGATTGATAAGGTTTGAAACACATGGGGCTGATAAATGATCAAAGCCGTAACCGACTACGGCCCAAGCATCGAAGAGTTTACCAGCAAGCTCGTAGAACGGCTAGATAGGACTGCAGGAGGAGCAACTCTAGTCAACGAGTTCTGTACACACTACGCATATGATGTCATGAGTTCTTTAGCATTTGGAACATCCACTCGATTTATAGAAGGCGAGTCCAATGGTAAAGCTAATATCATCCTTAAGACGATCCAAAAGGGGATCGTCCATATTGCCTTTCTAGCACATCTCCCGTGGGCGTTATCGATGGCAGAAACTCTTTGGTTCCTTGGTGGACCATTAAAGTCGCTGAGAGAGTGGTCCGGGGATCAGGTGGAAGCTCGGAGACATGTAAGTTATTTAGGTGTTTGTCTAGCGTCTAGCAATACCGATACTTACTCTTCTAGTTTGAGAGCCCAAGACCAGATATCATAGGTCACCTGCTTGCTAACACCAAAGATGACAAGAAGGGCAGAATTCTACTCCACGCTGAGGGCCGTCTTATTGTTGGAGCAGGAAGGTAAAATCCCTACCTCTTACTGGATATTTTTGCAAGAACTAACCATAACCAAGCGATACCACGGGCTCTGCACTTGCTGTCCTCCTCACATTTATGGCTTATTTTCACGATTATCAGGAAAAGCTCCACGACGAAGTGGAGAAAACCTTTGCCGATAAGACATACGTTTGTACACAACCACAGACTCTCTTGGATTCCATTATTAATGAAGCCCTACGCCTCTGCCCGCCTATTCTCTTCAATTCACAGCGCATGGCTCCAAAGGGAGGCTTAAGAATCGGCGACATTGAGATCCCCGAAGGGACAGTCTGCCTCCTTGGACCGTTCACACCTCACCATGGTATATTATCCCTCTACTTTCTTAATGCATAAGCTTACCATCCTTAGACGAGCGCAACTTCCTTCAAGCCAACGAGTTCATTCCTGAGCGCTGGACCTCCCGTCCCGAGTTAATCATCAACAAAATTGCCTTTATCCCGTTCTCTATGGGTTCGTCTTCTTGCTTGTCATGGTCCTCATCAGCCATCTAACCATCTCGCAGGCCCGTACATGTGCCCAGGTAAAGCTGTTGCAATGATGGAGATGCGCTCTGTGATCGCCCACCTAGTCCAAAGATACCGTATCGACTTTCCTAAGGGTGCAAATTTTGATATTCAAAAATACTACTCTGATATTGTAGATCATTTCACTGCCGGTATTCCTGATCAGGAGCTTGTATTTACCCCAAGAAATGTATAGATGTAAGGTAAAATGAAATTTAAACCTCAGTCGAGCATTTCATCTAGGGACAGTATTATTATGATTCCTTTTAACGTCCTGTGTAAGTCGAAGACTATAGTAGGACGACTAGGGTTGTTAGGCCCTAGCGTTTCTATGTGTAGTATTGTGTTCATCAATACGAGGGTTTCATGGACTGGACTAATTAAATTCGTCCAATTCATGAACTGGATATCTAATTTCTTCTATACCTTCTTACTTGCAGCCTATAATTGCCTATTCTTAGCTGTAAGGATCGTGGCATTATATATAGC